TGTAAAGAAGGATGTTGTATTTGTTTTAAATTAAAAATTAAAAAACTTTAATAATAATAAAAAAGAAAGATTTATATTCCTTGCTGATAGATGGTCATTTGCATTCTTTTAGAGAGTCCTTGAGGCCACTTAGAGGCTTATCTGTGACCTCAGGGTCACCTGAGTAGTACAAATGAGCGTGGAGCCTTCTTAGAAATCTTCAAAGGACTCTCTTGTAGACTGGAAATAGATGATGTCATACCTCTTCCCCTCTTGAGAGAGGGCTATTCAATTTTGACATAAATGGCCTCTTTGAACACTCTTCCAAGAAGCTTCTTGGATGAGAAGCAAAATGTCTTCAAAGAAAAACAAGGAAGTCCAGTTGCTTCCTGGGAAAAGCACCGTTGGGACAACCATGAGCTGGATTGACTGAGAATCTCCATAGACACTTACAACCCAGATTCAAAGTTCTAATCTAATGGCTGGATTCTTCCCTCCTCCGCAGTCATGTATTTGCATTTGGGGTGCTTAGCAACCCACCACATTTATGACCATTTGCTGTATCCCACAGTCATACGACCACGATTTATGATAGTTTCATGCCCATTGCAGATAATACATTCAATTCCTTTGGTTCACATGTTCACTTAGCCATATAGTCAGCAACGACTAATGGAGTAAATTCTGCAGGGAATTTGCCTTTTACTTTACATGTTCACTTAACAACAGTCCCCCAAAAGGTCATACGATCGGCCATGGTCACCTGATGACCCACTTAACAACTGACATGACTTATGACCATAATTCTGGGTCAATGACAGTTGTATATGAAAGTTCTATTTAATTCTCAGGGCATCTGGAGCGTTCCATTCCCCTGTTTTCTTCAGCCTCAAATGGCACAGAATTTTAACAATTCCATTCACTGCCAAGGCAGATTCAAGATTCACTACGTGTACCAAGTATACTTCCACAGGCCAATTTCTGTCCCCATGGAAATGGGAAATCTTCCAATGTGATACAGCATCAGGTTGCTGGAGCTGAAGGAGACCAGATGCTACCACCCACCAGTCCCACCATGTATCTTCTAGGATGCCATCACCACCGTTCCTACGTGTTGCAGACAACATGGAGCTCAAAGAACAGGATGGAACAGAAACTATGAAAACTAGAGAGTTCACATCTCTAAAGACTGGATAATTGGATAAAGTTAAGAACTCTTAACTAAAACCTCCATTAAACCTTTAACCTCTTTGACTTAGGCCAGCCAGAGGTCCCAGGAGTGGAAGATGTTTCTGTCATTTAGGAAGGCTGCATCTGACTTCCATTGTCAGATGCAGCCTACATTTAGGGGGCAGTCAGTCCCTAGCAGAGGTGGGTTCCTACCAGTTCACACCTATTCAGTAGAACCGGTTCGTCAAATCTACCGAACCGGT